TTCATTCAATTACATAATTAGGGTTTGGGTAATGTCAACAACAATAATGATTTTGGTGTAGATATTTTAGTTGTCTTATTAGAAATTTCCTTTCCTATTTGACCTTATTGGATCATATCTCTACTATTGTCTCTAATATATATGACATATGAATTTCTTTTATGTTGTTGAAAAAATTATGCACATTGATTTTTGTTTTAGATAACACAGCTACAATTTTGACTAATAGAACTGGATTTAGCCTACAAGAAGAGTCTGTCTTCTACATATCCATCTTAATTGCTGACAATGGAATCCCATCACTTACAAGTACAAACACCCTTACCATATATGTCTGTGATTGTGATGAAAATGGGAATACACAAATCTGCAGGAATAAGGAATTTATGCTTTCCATGGGATTCAAGGCAGAAGTCATAACTGCTATTCTTATCTGCATTATGGTAATATTTGGTAAGTAGTGCTAAACTGAACATATAGTCATTTATTCACAATAGTATAATATATAATATAGTTAATTCTATTATAGCAGTATATTGTGGGTTTGTGTGTGTGTTTATTGTTCCTCCGAATGTAATACAATTCTTAAATGGAGTAAATGAAAAATAGAGTGGATAAATATGCATTTCAAGCTGAAAATCAATTATCCTTGGATTGCATGAGTATGTGTGTGTGTGCACATCTGTTTATGCATGTTTTGACACATATGGATTGCAACAAATATATGTAAAAATTAGTAATAATAATGGTGATCTTCCGTTGAGTGCTTATTATACTTCAGGAGAGTGTCTTCAGTGTTTTTTATGCATTATGCAATTGAATCTTCACAATAACTTTATGAAGTAGCAACTCTTAGCCCCACATTGTAAGATGAAGAAACTGAAACTCAAAGAATTACATGCTTTACCGAGGGTCACGTAGCTAGAAAATTATGTGCTGAGATTTCATAACTACAACATACCACTATGCAACACTATACTTTAACTGAATAGAACCCTAGGAGAAAAAAAAGTAAAATCTACTTTCTTAGCAATTTTTTAGTATACAATACATTATTATCAACTATAATCACCATGTTGTACAGTATATCTCTTAAACTTATTCCTAAAGTCTAAGTTAAATTTTGTGTTCTTTGACCAACATCTCCACATTCCTCTATTTTCCCAAGTCTAACTACCATTCTACTTTCTACTTATATATGAGTTAGATTTTTTTAGATTTGACATGTAAGTGACATCATGCCATATTTGTCTTCCTGTGCCTGGCTTATTTCACTTAGCATAATATCCTCTAGGTTCATCCATGTTGTTGCAAATGACAGGATTTCCTTCTTTTTAAGGCTAAGTAGTATTGCATTTTGTATATATACCATGTTTTCCTTATCCATTTAACCATTGATGGAAACTTAGATGGATGCCGTATCTTGGCTATTATGAATAATGCTACAATGAACATGGGAGTGCAGATCTCTCTGCACCCTACCAATTTCATTTTTAAGTATGTAAGGTGATACATATATTAATTAAATTGATTTAGTCATCACACAATGTATGTACATATATCAAAACATCAAATTATACAGCATAATGTATATAATGACTATTTTTCACTTAAAAAATAACAATAATTTCATTAAATTTTTTTCTGTGAATGAAAAAGACAGTAAATGTTAGGATGAAGGAATGTAAAAGAGAGAGTCTTATTTTATCAAAGAATTGAACAGAAAGAAATCTCATTAAAATAGGTTCATTTGTTTTTGTTTGCTTGTTATTGTTGCTTTTATTGTTGTTTTCATAGTAGATAATTTATACCCATTTTACAGATGAGACAGTTGAACCCCACAATGTCTTACTCAGGCTTTCAAGATTATAAATGATTCATCTAATGCAAACTTCTCTCATTTTCTTTTTTTAATGCCAATATATATGATCCAAACCCTGCTCTTATTTCCTTAGTAACTTCACACCAATGCAACTATTTTGAGTATTGAGAGCAATTATATCAGTCACTGGTTCCAGAATCCTAAACTGACACAGATATGTTTTAGGACTTGCCTTGCATTCCTCATCTTTCTAAAAGCTTCAAAAATCATCCATTCTTCTTTTACCACTTAACATTACTATTCTTTGGGGCCCTGCTTTAGTTTTTCAAATATTTTTAATGGTCTTTGACCATAAAACTGAATTCAGAGTTATGTAGCTAGGTACCAGAAGAAAGAAGCAGTAATCACAGTATACTATTTGGAGGATGGCAAGCACTTAACTACCTACAGATACAGACCTAAATCAAGCCCTGAACACATACAGATATCCTAGGGGCAGCTTCACAGTGACAGGCATGAGTGACATTTAGCAGGTGGGAATATGGGACAGCCAATAGCCATTAATTTCCTTTGAAAGTGATTGGAATATTATTTATTAGACCCTTTCTATTTCAACAATATATATCATATGAGTTTTAAAGTACAGTACATGAATTCAAACATGGTGACCTTATTTATTTCAAGAACACTATTTCAAGTATTTAAAATGTAAGTTTTATATAAAATATTACATACCTAATATAGCTCTATTTGTGATAATATTAATAATATTACTTCATGTGTGTTTCAAATCCTATGTGTAGAATTATGAGTAGCTACATGAGATCCAAGGTTGAGTAAGGGTTGGTTATCTTTCACACACACACACACACACACACACACACACACAGAGTTTTCCTTAATATAAAAAAGAAGTGTTCTGAAAATTTTCTGTTTCTACATGATACTAAAATTATCTTATGTAATAAACATCAATTCTGGACAAACTATATGATTCAAATACCTGATAGGTTTGGAATTTCTGAAATTAATGTCATATCACAGAGCACAGGCTCTGAACCAATTTTCTGCTTTTGTCTATTTTGTTAAATTTTATTTTATTTATAATTAACACAATAATTGTACACAATTTGCGGTCACAGTGTGATATTTGAGTACATGTGTACATTGTACATCAAATCAGGATACCTGACATATCCATTACTTTAAACATTTATGATTTCTTCATTATAATAATGTTCAAAATCCTCTCTTCTAGCTATCTTAAAATAAATCATACACTATTATAACCTATAGTCACCCTAAGTGTAATAGAACCCCACAATTTATTCTTCCTGTCAAACTATAACTTTGTACCTGTTGACCAACGTCTCCCCATCCCCTCTTTCCCTACCCTCCATAGCTTCTGATAATCAATATTCTACTCTATACTTCAAAAATATGAACTTTTTTAGATTCCACATATAAGTGAGATCATTCAGTGCTTGTCTTTCTATGCCTGACTTATTTCACTTAACATAATGCCCTCTAGGTTCATCCATGTTGCCTCAAATGACAGAATTTCATTCTGTTTTATAGCTGAATAGTTTAAATAGCATTCCATTGTTATCTTTTATGTAGTTGTGTGGTTATGGGAACGTGATTTAATGTCTTTGTGCTTCAGTTTTCCCATTTTTAATAGGATATGATAATATGTGGGTTTCATAAGAACAAAATAAATAAATAAATGTAAAGCTTTTAGAACTATTCCCCACATATATTTTGTAGTCAATAAATATTAACTTAGGAGATAATTATGCTGCAGAATTTGGCCTCAGTGAGGAATATCTAACTGTTCCATTGTTCTGAACTTTTATTAACATGGATAATTGGTTACTAAGATCGACAAGTGCATTCAGATTGGAAAATGTTCCATTATCTACTTTGTTCTATTTTTATATTTAAGAAAAAAAATTAGATTTTTAAGTTAAAATGATTATCATCAAACACAGTTCACTAAATCTTTGTAGTGTTACTCTAAGTCATCAGAAAGATTGTGATACTTCCTTATGTCATTTTACAAGTCCTTTTGGTAAATTTTCAATGATGAATGTGTCTTTTTATCTTATAGCCATAAAATGTAAGCATCTGTCTTGAGCTTGTAACAAGAGCAAGGACTGTAATGTTTATAATAGTCTTTATGCATTAATTAATATTCTGATTGCTTTTCCTGTCAGGGTTTATTTTTCTGATCTTGTGTCTAAAACAACGAAGAAAACAGACTCTATTTCCTGAGAAAGGTGAAGATTTCAGAGAGAATATATTCAGATATGATGATGAAGGGGGCGGAGAAGAAGATACAGAGGCGTTTGATATTGCAGAGCTGAGGAGTAGCACCGTAATGCGGGAACGCAAGACGCGGAAAAACACCAGGGCGGAGATCAGGAGCCTGTACAGGCAGTCTTTGCAGGTTGGCCCAGACAGTGCTATCTTCAGGAAATTCATTCTAGAAAAGCTGGAAGAAGCTAATACTGATCCGTGTGCCCCTCCCTTTGATTCCCTCCAGACCTATGCTTTTGAGGGAACCGGATCTTTAGCTGAATCCCTAAGCTCCTTAGGATCAGCGGTCTCTGATCAGGATGAAAACTATGATTACCTTAATGAGTTGGGACCTCGCTTTAAAAGATTAGCATGCATGTTTGGTTCTGCAATGCAGTCAAATAATTAGGGCATTTTACCATCAAAATGTAAAAAATGATAATATGTATTTGGGCCAAATTGTAGTCTCTTGGTAAAGAGTTGTGTGCTTTGCTTCTCTGAGGGGGAAAAAGCCCTAGTTTATAGAGTTTTCTGATTTCCTCTGAGTGAATAAATACCCCATGATTGTTTCAGGCTACACATATGTTGTCATTGAACAAAGTGTGGGGAGAGGTGCGAACAATCAGCTTTCAGACTCCAGTGCAAGGCAACTCTAGCATATGAGTGAAATATTCCTCTAGCATTTTTCAATATCATCTAATGCAGTCTTAAAATTTTTGAATGGCTACTGTGAGAAAGGCACTGAATTAGGCCATGTTGTCTTATTTTATTTATACTTTTTTTTTTTTTACTTTTAGAAAGTGAGAGTAAAATGTTTATATGTGTTAAGTTCCTGATATTATACAGAGACAAACTTTAACACCTAGAAGAATCTGGGTGATTACACAAAAGTTTAAAAACATTCACTTTATGTGATAAATTTCTGACTAAGATTCCATGATTCATTCTAGTTTGATATTTTAAAATCTTTGCCAAGACCACTCTTTAAAACTGATTTCAAATTTGGACAGATACTTAGTATGTATTAATTAATCAGAGTTATATAGTATATAAATTTGTATTATTTTTGATATTATAGCTGGATTATTTTCATATGAAATGGAAAATATATTTTTATCATGTCAAAATGCAATGGCAAAATATGTCAATATTTACTCATCATTAAATTTAAACTTTATGAAACTGGTGGAAAGTGTGAAAATTTTAAGTGTATTTTATTTCTACTACAAATTATTTAGATAAGTGGAAGGAATACTGGATTCACACTTTAATTATTCACTCTAAGTATTGTGATCAACTGCACTGACTATGACCATTCATAGAATAAAACGATATAATTCTCCACATTTCCTTTTCTATTAAGAGCTTAGAATATGACTGATCCTTCAGTGTGTCATTTTTTATTACTGAATATAAAATTAGGCATAATAGTTACTTTTATTATAGCCTTATGAAGGAAATAAATGCTAAGCTGTTGGACATAAAGTTTATGGTAACAGTAGATAATAAAACACTTTAATTTTAATCAGTCTTTTAAGGATCATCCTTATTATTATATCCAAATGAAGGTGGACTTCAAAATTTATAGTTTGAACAAGAAGAAAGTAGTGATTACAAAGTTCTTAAAATTGGTTTATATGATAATTTTTTATTAATAGCATGTGAGACTGAGATGAAGCAAACTGGCCATATATGCTTAAATAAAATATTTTGAGTAATTTTGAACTATGGATAGAATAGTTGAATGGTTATAATATTTTTTTCTCTGTACTTAGAAACTTAAACACCTATATCATGTAATAGAAGAAAGTTTTTCATCAATATGAACCAGACACCATTGCATTGGTGACATAAATATTGTGACTTTACAAAACCAAGAGAAAATCAGATTTGAAATATAACAATTTAGGAAGATATTAAAAGTAGATGAAAGGACATAAGATGTAGTAAGTCCTTATGCATTAATATCATTATTTAGTTAGGAAAGAGTGAAAATACTAAACAAGAGAAAATTTAAAAAGCAAAACCTTGCAAGTAAAATAGCAATGAGAAATTTGAGGAAAAATTTATATTTCTATCATATTGACATAAAAGTTCAAAGAGTAGAGTGAGGAAAAATTGCATAAATTATTCCATGAAGTATTGCTCCCTGTATTTAATAAAGAGTGCTACGTAATCTTGGTTGAAGAACTGAAAAGTATGATAAACAACAGGTAAAGCAATCCATGGAAAATAGATTAGAAAAAAGAAATAGGGTTTTCTGGGGATCACAGTAAACTCTGTATGGATGAAAGCCTTATAAACAACTTATAAATTTGAATAAACAACTTATAAAAATGCACATTGATGCAAAATCAGTACCAATAATTTTAATGTTTGTGTCCAGTAGCACTAAACAGATGTGTTAAAGTAGATTCTGGTTTAATTAATGATAAGACTGCCCATCATAGAATATGTAGGAAAAGCACATACATGATTGCACGTCTATTTTCTAGTCTTAAAATTATTTCTTTTAACCATATCAAAAAATAT